TTGTATTATTTTTTTGATATATTGTTGGAGTCTTTTGGCTAAGATTTTGTTTAAATTTTTGTGTCTATGTTCAGGAGGGATATTGGTCTATAGTTTTTCTTTTGAGTAGTGTCTTTGCCTGGTTTTGGCATCAGGGTCATACTTCATAAAATGAATTTGGGAGGATTCCATCCTTTTCTATGTTCTGGAATAGTTTGAGTAGGATTAGTGTAACCTCTTCTCTAACTGTTTGGTAGAATTCTCCAGCAAGACCATCTGGGTCACAACATTTTTTTGCTGGTAATTTTTTAATGACTTGTTCAATTTCTTCTTTTGTTATGGGTCTGTTCAGATTTTCTACCTCAGTCTGTGTTAGTTTAGGTAAGTAGTGTGATTCTAGAAATCTGTCCATTTCTTCTAGGTTTTCAAATTTGTTGGAGTAATTCTTCCCAATATCCTCATATTACCCTTTTGGTTCTGTTGTGATGTTGCCCACTTCATTTCTTATTCATGTTATTTGCATCTTCTTCTTTTCCTTTATTAAATTGCCAATGGTTTGTCGATTTTATTAATCTTATCAAAAAACCGACTTCTAGTCTTGTTGATTTTTTTTTTCTATTGTCTTTCTGTTTTTTGTTTCATTTATTTCTGCTTGAATCTTTATTTCTTTTCTTCTGTTAACTGTAGGCTTTGTTGTTGTTGTTGTTGCTCTTTTTCTAATTGTTGGAGATGTTGCATTAAAGGTGTTGATTTTGGCTCCTTCTCCTTTTTTGGTGTGTGCATTTATTGCTACAAATTGCCCTCTGATGGCTGCTTTTGCTGTGCCCCCAAGGCCGCAGGAAGCAGCAACAGACAGGGCCAGCGGCTGGAACAGGTAAGGAGGTTGGGGGACACCCCCAGGTAGCAGGGAGCAGTGGCAGACAAGGCTGGCAGGAACAAGTAGGGGAAGCCTAGGAAGTGAGTGGAGTGATTGGAACAGCTAAGGGAGACGAACTCGTCTGTTGGTTTGTCATACTGTAGTGGCTTGCATGTTTCTGTGAGGCTGGAAGCTGTGCCAACAGGGGTGCCCATGGTAGACCGGTTTTGGTAGCGCTTCCAGACTGAGACAGACTCAGAAGAAAGAAGAGGCCATTCACTTCTCAAAGAACTGGACAGTGAAAACATTATGAATAGTAGTGAAACACTGTCTGATATATTACTGGAAAATTTTATAAATAGCCCTGAAACATTGTCCAATACAGTGCCAGAAGATGAGCGCTACAGGTCGGAAGGCACTCGTAATATGACTTGGAAAGAGCTGCCTCTTTTAATGCCTTTTTAATGATTTGGATAAAGTAGAGCTTTCAGGGCCTCCATTTGCTAAAGTGGCATGACTCGATATGAGAAGAAATAGCTGCAAACATCCATTGATAATTGGAACATGGAATGTATGAAGTATGAATATAGGAAAATTGGAAGTTGTCAAAAATGAAATGGAACACATAAAGATTGTTATCCTAGGCATTACTGAGCTGAAATGGACCAATTTTGGCCATTTTGAATCAGACAACCATATGATCTACTATGCCAGAAATGACAAATTGAAGAGGAATGGCTTGGCATTCATTGTCATGAAGAATGTTTCAAGATCTATCCTTAAGTACAATGCTGTCAGTGATAGAATAATATCCATATGCCTACAAGGAAAGCCAGTTAATACTATTATTCAAATTTATGCACCAACCACCAAAGCCAAAGATGAAGAAATTGAAGACTTTTACCAACTTTTGCAGTCTGAAATTGACCAAACATGCAATCAAGATGTGCTGATTTTCACTGGTGACTGGAATGCAAAAGTTGGAAACAAAGAAGAATCACCAGTAGTTGGAAAATTTGGCCTTGGAGATAGAAATAATGCTGGAGATCGCATGTTATAATTTTGTAAAACCAATGACTCAGTCATTGCAAATACCTTTTTTCAACAACACAAATAGCAGCTATACACATGGACTTCACCAGACGGAGTACACAGGAATCAGTTGACTACATCTGTGGCAAGAGGCAATGGAGAAGCTCAATATCTTCAGCCAAAACAAGGCCAGGAGCTGATTGTGGAACAGACCATTAACTGCTCACTTGCAAGTTCAAGTTCAAGTTGAAGACAATTAAAACAAGCCCATGAGAGCCAATATATGACCTTGATTATATCCCTCCTGAATTTAGAGACCATTTAAAGAAAAGATTTGATGCATTGAACACCAGTGACCAAAAACCAGAGGAATTGTGGGATGACATCAAGAACATCATCCATGAAAAAAGCAAAAGGTCATTAAAAAGACAGGAAAAGAAGACCAAAATGGATGGCAGAAAGGCTCTGAAACTTGCCTTTGAATGGAGAGAAGCTAAAGCAAATGGAAGAAATGACAAGATAAAAGAGCTGAACAGAAGATTTCAAAGAGCAGTTTGAGAAGCCAAAGTCAATTATCATAATGAAATGTACAAAGACATGAAGTTGGAAAGCTGAAAGGGAAGAACATGGTTGGCATTTCTCAAGCTGAAAGAACTGAAGAGGAAATTCAAGCCTCAAGTTGCAATATTGAAAGATTCTATGGGCAATGTATTGAATGATGCATGAAACATCAAAAGAAGATGGAAGGAATATACAAAGTCACTGTACCAAAAAGAACTGGTTGATGTTCATCCATTTCAGGCATATGATCAAAAACCAATGGTATTGAAGGAAGAAGTCAAAGCTGCACTGAGGGAAGTGGCGAAAAACAAGGCTTCAGGAATTGATAGACTACCCATTGAGATGTTTCAACAAATGGATGCCTCACTAGAGGCACTCACTTGACTATGCCAGGAGATTTGGAAGACAACTACCTGGCCAACTGACTGGGAAAGATCCATATTTGTACCCATTCCAAAGAAAGGTGATGCCACAGAATGTGGAAATTATCGAACAGTATCATTTATTTCCCATGCAAGTAGAACCTTACTAAAGGTAATTAAAAAATGGTTGCAGCAGTATATTGACAGAGAACTTCCAGAAATGCAAGCTGGATTCAGAAGAGGATGTGGAATGAGGGATATCATTGCTGATGTCAGATGGAACTTGGCTGAAACCAAAGGATACCAGAAAGATGTTTACTTGTGTTTTATTGACTATGCAAAAGCATTCAATTGTGTGGGTAACATTGAGAAGAATGGGAACTCCCGAACACTTAATTGTGCTCATGAGGAACTTGTACATAGACTAGGAGGCTGTCATTCGAACAGAACAAAGGGACACTGCTTGGTTTAAAATCAAGAAGGGAGTGTGTCAGAGTTGTATCCTTTCACCATACTTATTCAATCTGTATGCTGAACAAATAATCCAAGAAGCTGGACTATATGAAGAAGAACGTGGTATCAGGATTGGAGGAAGACTCATTAACAGCCTATGTTATGCAACTTTGCTCACTGAAAGTGAGGATGACTTGAAGCACTTACTGATGAAGATTGAAGACTACAGTCTGTGGTATGGATTGCACCTCAATATAAAGAAAACAAAAATCCTCACAATGGGACTGATAAGCAGCATCGTGATATATGGAGAAAAGATTGAAGTTGTCAAAGACTTCATATTACTTGGTTCTACACTCAACACCAATGGAAGAAGCAGTCAAGACATTAGACATCATATAGCGCTGGGCAGATCTGCTGCAAAGGACCTCTTCAGGTGAAGAGCAAAGATGTTTCCTTGAAGACTAAGGTGTGCTTGACACATGCCATGGTATTTTCAGTTGCCCCATATGCATGTGAGAGCTGGACAATGAAAAAGGAAGACTGAAGAGTCAATGTTTTTGAGTTGTGGTATTGGCAAAGAATGCTAAAAGTACCATGGACTGCTAAAAGAACTAACAAATCCCTCCTGGAAGAAGTGCAGCTGGAATGCTCCTTGGAAGCGAGAATGGCCAGACTTTGTCTCACCTACTTTGGTCATGTTGTAAGAAGGGACCATTCCCTGGAGAAGGATATCATGCTTGGCAAAAGTGGAGGACCAACAAAAAAGGGTAAGGTCCTTAACGAAGTGGATTGACACAGTGGCTGCAACCATGGGCTCAGGTATAGCAGGGATCCTGGGGCTGCCACAGCACTGGGCAGTGTTTTTTTCTCCTGTACACAAGGTTGCTATGAGTTGGAGACGACTTAATGGCACCTGACAAAGATTTTGGTATGTTGTGTTTTCATTCTCGTAAGATTCAAAGAATTTTTAAATTTCATTTATTTCTTCTATTTTTAAGGAGAGTGTGATTCAGTTTCCATGTGTTTGCTCTTTTTTCATTGATCTTTCTGTTATTAATTTGTAATTTTTATACCATTGTGATCTGAGAAGGTGCTCTGCAGTATTTCAGTGTTTTTCAATTTATTGAGCTTTACTTTGGGGCCTAATATATGGAGTATATGACCAGTTTTTCAGAGACATGTGACTTTGCTGGCCCTTACATATTCTCTCAGGTTGTCAAGCCCTAATTAGAAGAGTTGATAACCTCGACTTTTGACCCATTGGATCATTTCTGGCATCTGGCTTATGCACAAGTCAAAATAGGGTCACATAGCTGAGTGGGTCAAGATTGAATGGACTGCCAAGGTGTAGTGGTTGAGCAGAATTTGCAACCAAATGAAATTCTCAGCTATTATTTTTCTCCCCAACACATAAGCAGAGTTTGATTGTGGAAATAAAGTTTGCTTTCCTGACCATTAGCAAACCTCATCATTTTGGTTCCTAATTGCCCTTTTGTCTTGTCTCCTGTTTAGTATCTATGACCTCGCCTTTAAGCCCGATGGAACCCAACTGATTTTGGCTGCAGGAAACAGATTACTGGTAGGATTTTGTCTGAGTTTCCTTTTTAAGTGTTTTTCTTTCCCCCTCCCTCTTGTAAGTACTCTGAAATTTGACCCCCTTTTTTTTTTGAGATTAAAAAAGGCAAGGCGGAAAAACCAGACATTACTTTTTAATGGGGAAGGAAATGGGCTATTTAAACCAGGTAAGTAAATTGTCTATCAGATAGGAGCCTGTGAATAATACTCTGTTGTGGTCATTAATCTTCCTCTTTTACTTTGAGACATCCATGAAAGAGATGAAAACAATTCATCAAAATGCCTTTGAAAATGGGCTGGTGTCAGTTCACATTTTGTCTCCCTGAAAAACTCAAGTAACAACAATAAACGGGCTCCCTCCATGAGAAGCCAGATAGCCTGACCCCAACTTTTAGGCACTGGCCTACCTAAATAATTCCATCTGGATGGCGTCCTACTTTTCATATTTTCAAAGGACATAATCTCCCTCTGGAACTTATTCCTGTGTATAAAAGTAAATTTCAGGGAGCTCTTTGTGTTTGACCTAAAAACCTTTATGTGATCTCTCGTGCATAAGTCTACTTCCTCTCACTTTGTCGTCTTTAGACATGCAACCTGACCAACCTCCATCGCCTGTATGGTAACTGCATAATGTCAAAACCACTGTTAAATCGTTCTGCAGACTTCTCTCCAGGGTAAACAGTCCAAATCCTTTTAGTTTTTCTTCATAGTTTTTCTTCAGTACTCTGTTCTGGAGGGTTTCTTCTTGATTTTTCACATGGTGTGTTTTTTCAATCTCCACATATTTAGAGATGTTACACAATATCCTAAATCCACATTTACAGCTGGGTTTTATAACTCCCTCCATTTGTAAACCCAAAGCCCAGGTCTGTGACTTTCAAATTCTTGGCAGCAGTTTTGGTTTCCTAGTCTCTCTGACAGGAATATATCACAAGTGTGATGGCTTTAACAAACAGGAGTTTATTCTCTTACAGTTTGGAGGCTTTAAATTTGAGTTCAAAGTACCAAGCTCTAGGGGCTGGGTGAAAGCCCCTCAACCTTGGGTTTGAGCTCTGTCTCCTGCTCCTGACCCTCTGAAGCTGGAGGCTTTTCTTCACTCACACAGCTACTGGCTGCTAAGGCTGACAAACCCAAGGTCAACAAGTGCAAAGGCACAGTCCCAATGTTACCAAACAACATGGCAGGCCACTAACTCAAGTACAGAAGATCGGCAGGGCATGGCAGGCTGCTGAACAATCGCTTGGCTACATGCAGGGCTCAAGCATGCCAAAAAGCTAGAGATCTTCCTCAAAGCTGCTGCTTATATCTGGAAGGAGACCACATCCCTAAAGCAGCTACTCAGCTGCTTCAGTAGATTCCAGCATGGAGTTGATTACCAGTCTCCCCATGGGGAATAACTACAATCAGCTGTCTAGCCACTCAGCCAGGCCCAGCCAAGTTGACAACAACCTTAACTACCACAGCAGCAAAGGAAACACCTCTGTGGTACTGATACTAGAGGGCAGGGCTAGCACTAAAACTAAATCCTGTGGTAACTGACTTTCTTTATGTACTGGCCTTATTGAGGAGGACCTGCTTTATGTGATCATATATCCACATTCACATAAGAATTAGTGACATTGTGGAGAAATTGCACAGAGCAATTGACCTTTTGTTTTTCAAGGATTGGGGGCTCACTGCTGGCTACAGTGCACAGAATTGGGACTGCTACTTCTTGGATTACCCAACTTTAAGTCATATTCTTTCTGGATTCTTAGTGCAATTTCTATTTGATACAAATATAGAATGTTGACAAATGTTGTGTTAGAAAAAATAGCAGCAACCCTGTAAGAATTCTGACTAATGGATACCAAATGGATAATCATTACTTTTGTCTTTTTGCCAGGTTTATGACACCTCCGATGGCACCTTACTTCAGCCTCTAAAAGGGCACAAAGACACTGTGTACTGTGTGGCATATGCAAAGGATGGTGAGAAGCTACTTTGGGTTTCCAGTCTCTGTCATGTCCTCTTATTTCTTCTTAGCCACTCTCTATCTCTAGTAAACAAAAATACAGCTTACAAGTTTAGAAGGTAGTTACATGGCTTAGACTTCAATTCAGTGATTCTATTCAACAGGTATTTATTGAAGGCCATCTATGTGCTAGACACTGCTCTATGTACTTGAGCTACTTCAAAGAACAGAACAAAGATCCCTGTCTTTATGGAGCTTATATTCTGTGTTTGTGTGGTAGAGAGGGAGGAAGGAATGAAGAAGACATACAATAAGGATAGTAAATAAGTAAATGATGCTGGAAGGTGATAATTGATATGGAAAAAAAGTAGAGCAGCATAAGGAGGATTGAGAATATTGGATGGGCATGAGGTGGGATGCAGTCCTGAATAGAGTAGTGAGGGTGGGTTTGTTGACCTGGTGACAAGTGAGCAAAGACTTGAAGGTAGTTCTGGCAGTGAAGGTCTGGGGATCTTGGCAGTTGGTTAGCAGCTGCTCCATGAGAAAAAGATGTGGCATTCTGCTTTTGTAAAGATTACAGCTTTAGAAACCCTATGGGCAGTCCTTCTCTGTCCTACAGGGCCACTATAAGTTGGAATTGACTTGTTGGCAGTGGGTTTGGAATGAAGGTAGAGATGACCTCAAGGCCGAGAGGCAGGGGATAAGTGGTATGTCCTGATGGCAGTGAAGGAGTTTTGGAGTTGGGGTGCCAGGTGGGATGGGAAAGAGAGGAGGTGATGGCTAGAGAGTGGGCATATGAAATTGAGATTGAGTTAACAGTAAGTCCTCAGAAGAAAGGCCTGGCAATCTACTTTCAAAAGATCATCCATTGAAAACTCTATAGAGCACAATTTTACTCAGCACACTCAGTCACCAGCTGTCAGAATTGACTCAATGGCAGCTTGTTCTGGTTACCTAGTGCCGCTCTGACAGGCATATATACCACAAATGGGATGGCCTTAACAAACAGGAGTTTATTTTCTCACAGTTTGGAGGCTTTAAGTCCAAGTTCAAAGTGCCAGGCTCTAGGGGCTGGGTGAAAGCCCCTCAACCTTGGGGTCCAGCTCTGCCTCCTGCTCCTGGCCCACTGGAACTAGAGGGCTTTCTTCACTCAGACAGCTGCTGGCTGCTGAGACTGAAAAACCTAAGGCTGACAAGTAAAAAAGCACAGTCCCAATGCTGCCAAACCACCCAGCAGGCCATTAATTCAAGTCCATTGTAAGTTCCAAGGTCAGCAAAGCATGGCAGGCTGCTGAACAATGACATGGTGGCATGCAGGGTCCAAGCGTGCCATAAGCTAGAGACCATTCCCCAAGGCTTCTGCTTATATACAGGAAGCAGACTACATTCCCTAAGGCAGCTACTCAGCTGCTCACAATAGATTCCACCATGGAGTTGATTACCAGTCTCTTCATGGGGAATACTATATCCAGCTGCCCAGCCACTCAACCAGGCCCAGCCAAGTTGACACACAAACTGAACTACCACACAGCTGGTTTCTTGAGTGCTCATTAAAAAATCTGCTAAAATGAGCTGTAATGAATAACTTGGCCCAAAACTGGATCCTGTCTTCAGGAGCCTAAACCCATAGTCCAAGCGTGAGAGCCCATAAACTCAGTCCCCTCAGCAGTGCCAGCTTGTTGAACCCGGAGTAGAAATTTTCAAAACAGTCTCCTCTCTTCTAATAAAGAGAATGCCATATGGTATTCATTAGGTTCCAGAGCAATGGGAAAATGTAAATGATTCAAGTTAAATTTAACCCAGATTGTTATATATACATTGTTGTTGTTGTTGTTATGTGCCGTCGAGTCGGCCCCGACTCATAGCGACCCCTCCTTGGGTTTCCAAGGCAGTATCACTACGGAAGTAGGATTGCCCAACCTTCCTTCCGAGGAGTGGCTGGTGGGTTTGAACCGCCAGCCTTCTGGTTAGCAGGCAAGTGCTTTAGCCACTCTGCTACCAGAGCTCCTTATATATACATGGATTTTTTTATTTTTTGTCTTAGCCCAAAACAGTACACAAAATTACTTTAATTTTTATTCTTATTTCAGAAACAGGCCTATTCTTTTTTTTTTTTTTTTTTTAATTGTGATTTGGGTGAAAGTTTACAGAGCAAATTCACTTTCCATACAGCAGTTCACACACACGTTGTCTCATGACATTGACTACAATTTACCCCAATGAAACAGCTCCCCTCCCACTTCCTCCCCACAGTTACCTCTTCCCTGTCTCCATCCCTCCATGTACTCCTGCCCCCTGAACTGTCTCCCTGTGCATAAAACAGCCCTTCTTTCTCCCATGATTGTTCTCTCTAAGGAGTGTATCTACCTCAGGTACATGTTCAACTCCTATGCCTGTCTTTTGTTTGTCTGGAAGCCACAGGTGTGGGTTCAATTCCAGACCTGAAGGGCAGCTAGGGATCATAGTCTCAGTGGTTCCACCAGGTTCTATCAGACCAGCAAACCTCATCCCCCCTCTTTTTTTTTTTTTTGCAAATGACTTTGAGTTTTGTTCCACATTGTTCTCCCTCTCTATCCAGGATCTCCTACAGAGATCCCCCTCCAACTGGTTGACAGTGGTAGTTGGGCACCATCTAGTTCTAGTTGTATAGGCTGAGGATCTCGTGGTGTACTAGTCGTGAGGACTAATTGTTTCCATGAATCTTCAGTTTTCTTCATTCTTCTTTGTCCTGGATGAGGAGAGACCCATCGCTGAATCTAGATGGCTGCTTGCAAGTTTTTAAGATCCTAGTCACTACTTGCCAAAGTAGGAGTGGAACAATGTTTTATGTAGTAGGTTATGCCAATTGAGCTTGATGTCCCCTGTGACTATGGTCCCGAGCCCACAGGTTCACCTACTTGCTCCTTCTGGGTAGCTGGCTGAAACAGTTCTATTCTTTTTATATCTCAGTTTCAAAAGTAAAAGCCTCTTCAGGTTCAGCAGAACAGCTCATACTGCAATCAAAATATAATCTTCACATAGAAGAGAACTTAAAATAATGATATATCAACTGGATATATAACGATTTTTTTTACATAAGATAAAAGTATCATGATTAAAAAAGATACAGAGATAAATAGTAACATATTAATGAAGTGATATATCCAAGATTTGCTATAAAATGATGTAGTGAGGGAACAGAATTGTACATGTATATGAGAGAGAAAGGTATCAATGATATGAGTCAGTCATGTGTTGATAATTGTGAAAACTGAATGATGGGGTAGTCTAATCCATCTGTTTCCATGTATGTTTGAATATTGTCATAATGAAAAGTAAAGCCATGAAATAAAATTACAGTGATAAAGCAAAAAAAAAATTTTTTTTTAACAGTTAATCCATGTTACCCTACTGTGTAGAAGTAGTGGGAAGAACATGGACTTTGGAATGAAACCTCTCTGAGTTCAAATCCCAGTCCAGCACCTAAAGCTCTATGACTTTGAGGTAGTTATTGAATCTCTCTGAGTCTCAATTTTCCTGTATGTCAAATGGAGATAACATTCTAAACCACTTCTGAGAAAGCACGAAATCAGAATGCTGTAGTGCTTGAATGAACCTTGGAGGTCATTCAGGTCTTGTGTTTTTCACCTCACTTGAATGATAAGCCTCAGTAAGAAGCTGATGAAAACTATAGACCCCTGTAGAAAAATGCACATACTTCATGTATGTACATGATTACATGCATATAATTTTAGTCTTGAAAGCCTTGAACCCGGACAGAAGAGCAGTCAGCCCCAGGGTTACAGGTGAGGAGAGACAACGCAGGGACGCCCAGAGTAGCAGGCCGGAAGAGCAGGAGAAAGGGGATAAAAGCCTTGAACCCGGACAGAAGAGCAGTCAGTCCCAGGGTTACAGGTGAGAAGAGACAAC